ACTTAGTAACGAGAGAATTCCTAAAAGGTTAATATTTGCTGTGCCGAATGGTAAGCGTCCGAGGGGTAGACCGAAGCGAAGGTGGGAAGATTGCATTAAAGCTGATCTGAAGGGACTGGGTTTGGACGGCGAACGGTGGAGGGAGGTGTGTAATAAGCGATTGTTGGTGTCGGCATCGAAACTTCGGGTTCGCTAAGCCTTTTTATTATTATTATTATTTAGTAATACAGGCAGTAGTTATAAATAGATATCTGAAATTATGCCTTTTATGAGGTCTTTATCATATTCGAAGTTAATTTATCGTCAAATTTAAAAATTCCCAGGTTTAAACAAAGATTTTTTTTTGTTTTTCTTACAATTTTTTTTAAATTTCAACGTCTTATTCATTCTTGTTTCTTGGCCTTTAAAACATAAGCATAAAGTTAATCCGACATCATTTATGAGTCCTATGTCCACGAAAACCCATCTTTGGTCCCACTGTACAACGGGGTCGCTTCAAATAATTTCGATTCGGTTTTTGGAAACGCGAATCATTCATAAATGTATTGTTTGTTATATTATAATCGAATAAGAATTTAAATGGAGACTTTAACGTCTCCAAATAGCCAGGGCTATAATTAGAGTAAATATTTACATAAAGGGGAAGTAAATGCAAGAGTTGGCCGATTGGGGAGCTAGGAGGTGAATTGAGAAGTTTGAGCACGGCTGGCCACAGTACCTTAATTAGACCTCTTCAAACCGTCGATTCCTTCACGCTTTGTTGCTCGGATTATTTGCTCTAGTAATTAGTTAAGATTTTTAACAACGAGGCAGCAACTTAGCCAAGAGGAAACAGCAAGAAGGAGTAAATTTCTGGTTTACTTGGTTAGGTTTTCCCGATGGCCGAATACTTTGAATAGGCTTCCAGAAAGTTTTTTTCTGCCCGTTAAATATCGGGTCGTAACTCAGAGTAAGTTCATAGCATTTTCTTTTCTTTTTTTGACTACCTGAAGTAGAAGTATGGTAATAAGTCAGTCGTCTCTCTCCCCTCTTCGATATCTGGCTTAATTTTTTCCGTTTAAGGAGTTCCTTAAGATCTTAAAAATTTAGATTAATTGGCAAATTTATTCTGAGTTGATTCAGAGTTATAAGTATTATTTTTTTCCTTAGCGGGACAAGCCAATTTATGAGCCATGCTATTGCCTATAGAAATTTTTTTTTTTTTATTATTTCTTTATGGTATTTACAACTGTATTAAAGAAATACATTTAGTAATTTTGAACATAATGTACATAATGACATGAATACACTTGCTGAGTAACTACCCAATGATAGCACTCTAATGATATGTCTACATTAGGAGATCACGGGGCCATCTTCTTTTCAGACGCCTCGGAGGGTTATCAGGAATTGAAGAGGAAGCAAGGTTAGAAACGAGAGGGTTGGGATGATTCTGAAGTTTATTATGGAAGGATAGGTATCTGGGTTAGGCCTGATATGAAACATAAGAAACATTAAGGCCATAATAGATAGTTTTATTTGTAACAAAGTAGGGAGCATTTTGGATTGCAAGGATTGGATACGAGAGGAATTCGATGGTTTAGTGGAGCCCCATAGCTCAACTCCGTAAGTCCAAATAAGCCTTATTATAGTCATGTATATGAGTCTTTTGTAATTAATTGAAAGTTTAATGCGTTTGTCTAGTAAGTGTTGGAGTATTTGAAAACACAGAGCGGTTTCTTGTTGTTTCAGTCTGGTATGAGGATTCCAAGTGAGTCGTTTGTCCAGGTGGAGTCCTAGTTATCGGATTTGTTCAACAGGGATAAGTGGGGTATTGTTAAAGGATACAGTAGGGCAGAAAGTCATAGGTTTGCTACGAAGGCTGAAAGTAATTTGATGGGATTTATTGGAGAGTTTGGGATGCAATTGATGGATTGTTGTTGACTGGTAGGATACAAATGTCATCGGCATTTGTCGACTGATCTACATCACCACAATGAGAACCATTTGAACAAACGGAGCACAAGTTTGAGGTTTAGAAAAACAAACACACATAAATATATATATATTGAAATACAAAAATAAAATAAAAAATTCTACGAAATATTGTCAACACATCTTGGTACATTTAAAATAACACTATATGTAAGGAATTAACTTCATTTCACTCTTCAACTCAAAATCACTTCAATCCACTAGTCCTTTCTATTTCCTGCTCCCTGTTACCTCATCGACGCAGATTAAAAATTAAATGGCCACTACTCCTACAATAATAACAACATAAAAGCTAATCAAGCAAATGGCATAGTAGTGGCTATTAGAATGTAGTGTCATTCTCCCATCTACGTTTTCAATAGATATTTAGTTCGCCTAACACTTATCATTAATAGAAATATTTTTATTCTTATCCGGAGTGATCCATACCAATCATATCATCTGAGAGATTTTTGAAAAGAATTATCAAAAACTCTACATTTTATGACTTTGAAATTTTAGGATCCAGTTAGGTTTTAAATGAATTATACCGAGTTTTATATCAGTGTCGAACTCTTTAAAACGATATTTATTATTTTATTTTTATTTATTCTGTGTTTTGAAATAATCAATGTTTCAGTGATTTTTACTGAAGTTGATTTAAGTAAATATTATCTAAATTGCGGTCAGTCACTTTTCTATGAAATTTTCTTTCAGATTAAAAGTTTTTAATGAAATTTCTCACTTAAGTTTAACACAATTCATTCAGTTTTTTTAACTTGTCTTTATTGATTAAAAAAGTTTTAAATAACTAGTAAGTTTTAACTAAATATTGTTTGGAGCTTTAACCATTGAACATTCATTTACTAATTAATTTACTTAATGAATTTCAATGTTTGATTTTATTATTTTGAAATATATTGCTATGTATAGGTCAATACTTATTATATGCTTGTAAATGTTCATTTACACTTAATTTTCATGTGGTTGTTGTTTGTCAGAGATTTAAAACGTAAAATCTCAAGATTATCATCGTCTGTTTTCGTTTGTTATTTCGTTTGTTTATTTCTAAATTTTGTGGAAAAAAATATATACATTATTAACATAATTCATAAAAGGACTTACCAAGAGACTTAAATTCAATTCTAGGTTATAAATCATTAGAGATGCGATTGGGTATCATCATCTTCGATCGTCTTTTCTTTTCTGACCTGGTGATGCCCAAAAATGGCTAAGTGTTAATGGTTTTTTTTTTTTTTCTTTCATTTTGGAAACATAAGGCTGTGTTTTTGATTTTTTTTCTCCAATTGTAATCTAAACGTATTCATTCTATAAGATAATCAATTTTTTTTTTGTATATTTTTTTTCATAATATTCAATATTTACTTTATTGTGTCTTCATATAATTTTTTAGAATGATTGTTACATGGATTGTGAGCTTAGATCTAGTTAAAATTGAGACTTAAAAAAAGGACATTTTTGTGAAGATATTATATAGTGATTATATTATTATGATTATATTATAGTGAAGATATTATTACATTTTAGTGATGATTGCTGATGAAATAAGAATGAGTCAGATATAGACTATTTGATGATGACCAAGTTTCACAGCTTTTTTTATTGATTTATGCTAGGAGGACTTTCATTCCACATGGACTGCCACTATGAAGTATTTCTTTTTTGAAGGAAATGCTGGTATCATGTATATCTGGGTACTCAGATAAAACATAATGATTTTTCCAAAGTTTTTAGTGCATTTAAATTTATTTATGAATATGTGAATAGGTGTATTAATGAATGTTTAGGATTGTTTAATGTTTCGGGTATATATTGTTCGTGTCTTTCCCATGTGATAATCCGTTTTATTAAAAAAAAAAAAACATTTAAATAAACGATTTATTTTTATATAATATTTACAATTTGTACAATTTTCAATTAACATACTATAATTGTTGTTGAAGTAATCATCTTCACATTGATCTAGAACTTAATTATACAATATGAGAAAATCTAATTTTATATGAACTAACAATTTAGATTTGTTTTATTATTTTTTTTTATGTATTTTTTATAATCTTTAAGTAACATCCATTTGAGCCAAAAAATAATAACATTGTTACAATATATTTCAATTCAATATTTAAAATCTATAGCTGAACAACATTGATCGTATATAATAATTCCTTATTTTATAATATATAATATATTAAATATACAATAACAAAACAATTTGAGCAGATGGTTATCTGTTAGTTTTTATAAGTAGAATAAGAAGTAGGGTTGTTGCGGCAAGAAGGTGCCTAGATGGCGCTGCTCGAAGGCTCCCTGATTTTGGTCCTGGAACAAGAAAATTAAAAAAATTAATAATTGTAAGAGATAACATAAAAGTAAAATAGAAAGATTAAATAATTGAAAATCAAGATTAGTATTTAATTTAACAAGTTTTTTTTTAAACATCTATGTATCAAGCGCTTAAATTATGGATTTTATAGAATATGTTCATTACTAAGTGATATACTCTATTTAAACGAATGTTAGTACAGAACTATTTACATTTTTTCAGATATATTTAAATTTAATGGTTTTTACTCTATTTTAGTGTTGCCCAAAATCTTGGTTTTGGTCTTGCATCTTGCAATACCTGTTTTAATAAGAAGAAATACCATTCGAAAACAACAAATCATGTCTCGGGAAATGGAAATCTCTGTCTCGCATAACAAAAAGTGTTTAAGGTCACTTTGTGGGTATATTTCGAAGAATGACAGGACAAAGGCTAACCACTTCCAAAAAAAAAAAATTAGAGTGGATAGATGCAAATTGCTCCTTGGCCGTTTTCACCAATGGACTTCATCGAATGATTTTGTTTAGCGATGAGAACATTTTTACAATTTAAGAAAAATTTAATCGCCGAAAATTATAATTAAAAAGAGGTCATCACCCTTCCTCAGTGATGGTTTGGTGGGGTGTTTGCTTTGATGGCAGCACCGTTAAGACAGCCGCTAAAAAACAGGACGATATTTTGGAACCTGTTGTCAAGCCTCTAAATGATACTCTGTTTGCTGGAAATCATTGGATTTTCCAGCAGGATTACACTCCAGTTCGCAAGGCCGGATCAATTCAGCAGTGCCTGCAAAAGAGTTTTTCCAGAGTTCATCTCTGCCTCGGATTGGTCTTCAGGAAGTCCTGATCTCAACCCACTAGATATCGGCTTTGGTCCGAACTGGAGAGGATGGCATGCCACAGAGCACACCCTAACTTGGAAAGCCTCAATCTCTGGTCCGAGCAGTTGAGCGCTTTCCTCAAGAAGTGCTGCGTGCTGCTATTGATGACTAGCATTTTGAATATTTTTTTTGTTTTACTCTCTCTATATATATACATTATTATTTTCTAATAAAGTTTTTGAAAAAATTATTTTTTCTGTTGAAATCTGTATATATTTTCTTGTAAAAATATTTATGACAGGATTAAGTATTAACGAAAAATTCAAGTAATTCGCAGGTACATATAAATTATATATGAAGGATTTATCAATAAATGGTCTATCTAACGCAAAATGAATTTTTCAAATCGGATTAAAAAACTGTTAAACTTTATGTTAATTAAGTAAAGGGATTAATATATTTGGACTATAATAATATTTAATCATTTTTAATTCGTTTTATTTTTCTAATAAAATGTACCAAACTGACGAATACAAGCATTTTCGAATAATTAATTCTTCATTTAGTGTAATTTCCAATTCTAACTTCATGTTTAATCTCAACTACTTAAACAATGGAAATTTCACAAATATTTATAAGCGTCCGTTTTAATTAAAATATTCATGTTCTCCTTCCGCGAATGGAATATTATTTACAACTCATTAACTTCTAACTATTTCAACGACACCTCTGTAAATATTCATGCAACTGTTAATGTATATTTTATTTATTACTTAAAGCTGGTTGAATAATTTTCCAAAGGTAATAATATCATTTGTTAGGAAAATATATTTCAGTGTAAATTAGCAAAATTATAACAGATCCTATAAGAAATGGCGGTTTTTATCTGTCCGTTTATGTAGATATTTCCTAATCTCTCCTTTACAACTGAATTGTGTTTACATATTTTGTTTATTATAGCATTACACATTCTTATTTCTGTTCGATAAAGTTAGTTATTCTGTGCTGAAATTTTAATTAAAATGGATCTCCACAAAAACAACTTTGAAAGAAAGATACTTTGCAATAAATTTTACTCTGGGACATTTAGTGCCCTAAGAATAATTATAATGAACAAATAATGAAAATTATCTGGTATTATAAAGAATGAGAAAAATGTTAGCTAACATAACCTTATAATTAAAATAAATTAAGTACGAGTATATTGATTTTTACATAAATATAAATGAGTGTGTTCACATATTTGTTCTGATTAACAATATTGATGATGCATAAGTAACAGTTACATAGCAGTCAAATGAGAGTAACAGCTGTTTAATACGAAATTTTATTCTTACATGTATTCGGAAGATTGATTGTTGAGGAGATGGAAGAATAAATGTTGTTTAAATTAGGCGAAGGAAGAGGAGTTGCGTATTGAGATATTTAGAGAATTCCAGAAAGAGGTAGCACGCATGACAAAGGTTTTTTTAAAGGAAACGGTTCTACGAGATGTAACAAAAAGGTCTATGAACTGGGATCTCTTGATAAATGAATGAACTGAGGAACAAGGAGTAAACAAATGAAGAAAGTAAGATGGCTTTTTGGTTGTAAAGGTTCGAAAAATAAATACATCCAGGAAATATTGCCGTCAGAAATCTAGATAAAGCCACTTCAACTCAGCATACCAACAATTCATTAATCTCTTCAATCTGAACTCAAGCCCACAAGACAGTCCACCGTATACAAGGCAGCCATAATCTAAGTGAGGGAATCAGGAAATGGCTGTTTTTTAGGAGCATGGAATCGCGGAATCTCAGGAACCGTTTTAGGGTAGCAATAGATTTTCGGATAATTTGGGAGACATGATTATTTAATTGAAAATTACTCCTAGATTTCTGACATAAGTATGGAATCGTGAGATAACTTGAGCACAAAGAAAAAAGGTGGCCTTAAAAAATATTGACCATTTGGCCTATATAACCTCGTTATTTTGACAACTGTGGTTGGCTGTGATATTTTCCTTCTTTTTTTTTTTAATTTGCTCCTATCAAATAACTCTTTTACTTACTGACAAAATGTTTAGTATTTATACGTAGTCAAGTGTACAATTTACTATAAAAAACATCTTATATCTAATTGCTTTGCTAACAAAATCGAGGAAAATTAAATGAAAATTTTCACCAGTAACCAAGTCTTCCGTATGGGATATCATTATTTAAAATTATATATTACTCTTTTGATAATAAAAGATAAACGTAAACTGAAGTTTTACGAACGGATGAAATTGGCCTATCAAATATTCTGTCAAATGTTTCTGAAGGGTTTATTTTATTTAGTGCTGATCGGAAATTGGATTCTTTTAGTTTAAATTCTAATAATGGAGTGTTTTGTATTCACAATCCAGCCTATATTGAGCCGCCTTGTGGATATTCCAATTTTCATTCGACTGCTTTAACGAAGACATCAATGAAACGGGAGTTCGAAAACGGTTTTCGATATAATTGCCATCGTTTTCGAATGCATGAGCTCATCCGCCCTATCTTCTGAAATTGGAGTGATACATTTTTATGACGTTATTTCAGTGATACGATAAACAATGATTACAGGACTAAGCGAAATATATTCAAAATGCTAGTGTAAAATATTTATCTTTTTTATAAGTAGGATATAGGTCTCCCTTAATAAATGACATGGCCCTTAATAATGTGATGTTATATCATTATATATTTTTCATTATACCTAAGAATTTCTGCTATTATTATCATTTACATTATTTTTTTCTTTTTTTTTATATATTGTTAATAATGTCGAAATAAAATTTCAATGTTGTAATAATATTAATATTTAAACTATATTTTAGCATAAACTTTTTTTGGATACCCTCTTCTACTCTCCGACACGGTGTTGGGTTAAGACACGGTTTTGAATAATAGCTCATTATAAAGAAGACAAAGTGGTGAAAATTTCTCTCTCTTGCAGTACACAGGTCCGATTTTTAGTATCTGAAATATTTTAATCCATATGTTTAAATAAACTCGTTGTCATTTGGTTTTCGACATTATCTTTTTCTTTTGGGCTCCCTAACACGGCGTCGCGATTTTGAATTATAGCCTATTACAGAGAGGATGAAATACTGAACGATTTACTCGCTTATAGTATGCAGAATCGATTTATAGTTTCCGAGATATTTTAATCCATATGTAAAAATATTTGTCGACTCTAGCCGACTTTACCCGAGCGTTAATATTGAATAGACACGGTATCAAATATGTCACTAGTTATAATAATTGGACTGGTAATTCCGGCGAAGCGGCTGAGAGAGAAGGGCTGGACTCGGAGATCTCTTCCCTGGTTGTAAATATTGTAATTTAGTATGAATGTTTTTCTATTTATTTCTTTTACTTATAATTTATTTAATTATGCTACGAATTTCTGTATTTTATTTTATTTTAACTCTAACTTACATTTCCTTGGTTTATTATTGTTTTGCCTTAGTTATATAGATGTATATATATTTTTTAAATCATTTAATTATTTATTGTATTGTATATATGTTATGAATGTGCTTCACTCAGCCTTAGTACTCAGTACCCTTAAGTGTGGCAAAATATATTATTTCAATAAAAATATATAAACAAAAAACGTTATAATTTTTTTTTGTCTATAAAATATGTATTTGCGCCTGTCAACAATAAGTTGACAATCAGCAAATGTGATAGCGATAATGATATAATGACATGACAGGCATGGGGAAGGAAAGTACTCAGCAGTACCTCTTCCCTAACTTGTTCCAATTACTTAGGTTGTCTAAGGAAGAAGATCCCTCATCCAACGCCTTTTTAGTATCCTGCTCATGTTCTGAGGTATGTCAGCTATGTCTCTTATAAGTCTGTTATTATGTCCATTTAAATTTGTGTAAAATCGTTGATATAGGGTCGTTATATGTTGGTCAACTGTTGGAAAGTGGAGGTCAGGATGTAGAGTTTTTTTAGTCACGTACCAAGGTGCTTTTGTTATGAGTCGTAATAATTTCGATTGGAACGTTTGAAGTTTTTGTCTGTGGGTCTTTTTAGCGATGCCGTATATTTGTGATGAGTATGTCCATATGGGCTTAAGTAAGTATGTATATGTATTCAGTTTCTGTTTTAGTTTTAGTTTTGAAGATTTGGCAAAAAGAGAGTAAAGTAGTTTGAGTCGTTTGTTAAGTGTCATGCGTTTCATTTTAACATGTGGGCCCCATGTCATCCTTCTGTCGAAGGTGAGTCCAAGGTAAAGTACCGTGTCTGTTTGAGGAATTTGATTGTTGTCAATATAAACTGGAGGACAGGTGTTTTTTCGTAGATATAACGTTATAATAATTTGATTTATCAGCACAAAACTTACGAGTTGCTTGGATTGTACTTTCGGTTTTGAGGAAGCAAAATTATATTTAAAAAGTATAACTTGAAATATATAAAATTGCACCTAATTATCCCCTACTAGGTACTCTTGCAAAATACCTCATATATCATTCATTGAATTTACATATAGATGCATTTTGAATTTAGTACCTATAGTATTCAGCCCCGATTTATAGTTTCTGAGATATTTTAATCCATATGTAAAAATATTTTAATTAGTCGACTATAGCCGACTATACCCGAGCGTTGATATAGAATAGACACGGTGTCAAATCGTCATTAGTTATAATAATTGGATTTTACTGCACAAAATCTTCGAGATTTTATGATTTTAGTTTCGGTTTTGAGGAGATAAAATTATATTTAAAAAGTATAACTTGAAATATATAAAATTGCACCTAATTATTCCCTACTGGATACTCTTGCAAAATATCTCATATATCATTGAATTTACATATAGATGCATTTTGAATTTAGTACCTATAGTATTCAGCCCCGATTTATAGTTTCTGAGATATTTTAATCCATTTGTAAAAATATTTTAATTAGTCGACTATACCCGAGCGTTGATATAGAATAGACATGGTGTCGAATTCGTCACTGGCTATAGTAGTTTGATTTATCTACACAAAATCTTCGAGTTTTTTGGACGTAAAATTATATTTAAAAAGTATGATTTGAAATATATAAAATTTCACCTTATTATCCTCTACTAGGTACTCTTTCAAAATACCTCACATATCATTG